TAGGTTAGGTCAGACCAAGATAGGTCAGGTTAGAATAGGTTAGGTCAGACCAAGATAGGTCAGGTTAGAATAGGTTAGGTCAGACCAAGATAGGTCAGGTTAGAATAGGTTAGGTCAGACCAAGATAGGTCAGGTTAGAATAGGTTAGGTCAGACCAAGATAGGTCAGGTTAGAATAGGTTAGGTCAGACCAAGATAGGTCAGGTTAGAATAGGTTAGATCAGACCAAGATAGGTCAGGTTGGAATAGGTTAGGTCAGACCAAGATAGGTCAGGTTAGAATAGGTTAGATCAGACCAAGATAGGTCAGGTTGGAATAGGTTAGGTCAGACCAAGATAGGTCAGGTTAGAATAGGTTAGGTCAGACCAAGATAGGTCAGGTTAGGATAGGTTAGATCAGACCAAGATAGGTCAGGTTACAATAGGTTAGGTCAGACCAAGATAGGTCAGGTTAGAATAGGTTAGGTCAGACCAAGATAGGTTAGGCTGGCTTTGTTTACAAAGTAGTGCTGACGCAGACGTGTCCATATTTTCCTCAGGGTTTAGACCCGACTCCCTTAGCGGGAACCAGGCCGCCGTGACTCCATTCACAAACCTCTATGACTACACCCACCCCCATTACCCCATTCCCGCACCCTCCCTGGCCTGGACCACCACCTCATCCATCTCCTGGAAGGGTCCGCCCGTCACCCACCACCCTGGAGATCATCCACCCCCCCAACAAAGGTGTAGGTACACCCAGAACACCTCGCCCTGGCCCCAGACAATGGCTGCTATCGATACTTGTCACAAGCGATTTCCAGGAGCTGCGACAGCGTGGCTTTGTGGCCCAAATGGTTCGAATCCCCTGAAACAATAAGAGAATGGGTCCTAAGGGTTCTCTCACTTATAGTGTTTGGGAGATTCATCGGTGATGATTTAATGCGTTAATGGAACGGGAAGACATTGTTGAATTGTTGCTCTTTCTTGAAGGGGGGTGTTTGTAAACACACACACACACACACACACACACACACACACACACACACACACACACACACACACACACACACACACACACACATGCATTGACAAATGGAATGCATTAGGATGTGATGTGGTGGAGGCTGACTCCATACACAGTTTCAAGTGTAGATATGACAGAGCCCAATAGGCTCAGGAATCTGTACACCAGTTGATTGACGGTTGAGAGGCGGGACCAAAGAGCCAGAGCTCAACCCCCGCAAGCACAACTAGGTGAGTACACACACACACACACACACACACACACACACACACACACACACACACACACACACACACACACACACAGGGTATAGAATCGTTTCTCTCAATGTTTGCCGATGATGCAAAAATTATGAGGAGGATTGAAACTGAGGACGATAGTAGGAGGCTACAAGATGACCTAGACAGACTGAGTGAATGGTCCAACAAATGGCTGTTGAAGTTCAACCCGAGTAAATGCAAAGTAATGAAACTAGGTGGTGGAAATAGGAGGCCAAACACAGGATACAGAATAGGAGATGAAGTACTTAATGAAACGAACAGAGAGAAAGATCTAGGAGTTGATATCACACCAAACCTGTCTCCTGAAGCCCACATAAAAAGAATAACGTCTGCGGCATATGCGAGGCTGGCTAACATCAGAACAGCGTTCAGGAACCTGTGTAAGGAATCATTCAGAATCTTGTACACCACATATGTAAGACCAATCCTGGAGTATGCGGCCCCAGCATGGAGCCCGTACCTTGTCAAGCACAAGACGAAGCTGGAAAAAGTCCAAAGGTATGCCACTAGACTAGTCCCAGAACTAAGAGGCATGAGTTACGAGGAAAGGCTGCGGGAAATGCACCTTACGACACTGGAAGACAGAAGAGTAAGGGGAGACATGATCACAACCTACAAAATCCTCAGAGGAATCGACCGGGTAAACAAAGATAAACTATTCAACACTGGTGGGACGCGAACAAGGGGACACAGGTGGAAACTGAGTACTCACATGAGCCACAGAGACGTTAGAAGGAACTTTTTTAGTGTCAGAGTAGTTAACGGATGGAATGCATTAGGCAGTGATGTGGTGGAGGCTGACTCCATACACAGTTTTAAATGTAGATATGATAGAGCCCAGTAGGCTCAGGAATCTGTACACCAGTTGATTGACAGTTGAGAGGCGGGACCAAAGAGCCAAAGCTCAACCCCCGCAAGCACAAATAGGTGAGTACAAATAGGTGAGTACACACACACACACACGGTTGTAAGTACACACAAAGGTGTTACTACACTACAATATTCCGTAGTGTGTGGTGACACAGGTACACAAATGGTCACAATATCCTATATTCAATAAGGGGGACACCCAGGAGCCATCAATACACCATTACGGAGTGTAATGGTCCTATCGTTCCTCGCTCGGCCCCGACACCACCACTGGTACAGACAGACCACACCACCACTGGTACAGACAGACCACATCACCACTGGTACAGACAGACCACACCACCACTGGGACAGACAGACCACACCACCACTGGTACAGACAGACCACACCACCACTGGTACAGACAGACCACACCACCACTGGTACAGACAGACCACACCACCACTGGTACAGACAGACCACACCACCACTGGTACAGACAGACCACACCACCACTGGTACAGACAGACCACACCACCACTGGTACAGACAGACCACACCACCACTGGGACAGACAGACCACACCACCACTGGTACAGACAGACCACACCACCACTGGTACAGACAGACCACACCACCACTGGTACAGACAGACCACACCACCACTGGTACAGACAGACCACACCACCACTGGTACAGACAGACCACACCACCACTGGGACAGACAGACCACACCACCACTGGTACAGACAGACCACACCACCACTGGGACAGACAGACCACACCACCACTGGTACAGACAGACCACACCACCACTGGTACAGACAGACCACACCACCACTGGTACAGACAGACCACACCACCACTGGTACAGACAGACCACACCACCACTGGTACAGACAGACCACATCACCACTGGGTCAGACAGCCCACACCACCACTGGTACAGACAGACCACACCACCACTGGAACAGCACCATCCCACAACCGGTTCGCCACAGAAACAAGGATTACACTACAAGAAGACCCGACAACTGGGATTTATGATACAAATTACAAATTATTGGAGGTGGGATCTCTGGATTGTTTCAAGCGTAGGTTAGACATCTATATAAGTTTGGGTGGATGTAAATAGGAACTGCCCCGTATGGACCCCTTCAGCTGTTTCATACGTTCCTATTACGGAATGTTTATATCAATAACAATCAGGTAATTAGGTAAAGCAATTCTGACATTATAGTTTGTACCAGACAGCCCAATAATCATCGGTAATCACATCATTATTTTACAAATATAATTGGAGTTGAAACCGGGGTCCATGATTGGTCAACGCTGGCTCCGGGGTCGCTGATTGGTCGACGATAACTCCGGGGTCGCTGATTGGTCGACGATAACTCCGGGGTCCCTGATTGGTCAACGCTGGCTCCGGGGGTCCCTGATTGGTCAACGATAACTCCGAAGGTCCCTGATTGGTCAACGATAACTCCGGGGGTCCCTAATTGGTCAACGCTAGCTCCAGGCTAACTGGAATTACGTTCTGGGTTGTCTCTCTCTAACTCCGAGTTACAACCCTGGCTGACTTCCTGGCTGACTCCCTGGCTGACTTCCTGGCTGACTCTCCGCGCTGACTCTCCGTACAGGTGCTGGGGCAGAGTCAGACACCCCAGGAGACCTCCGTGCAGGAGACTATCACCTCATATAATGAGGTTACTCACCCTGCCCTTCCTCACACCTCACTGTGGTGGAGGTGGAGACGCCAGAGATAACAATAGAACCTTATCTATCCCCCCATAACCTTAAGAAAAAGATATCTTCAATCCCCCATTTATCTAAAGAAAAATAATTAAATCGCTCTATAATTTATATTATCTATATATATTTACATTAAAGATATATACTATCTATATATAATCGCTCTATAGTTTCAATATAGATTTTCTATATATTTGTTTAATGATATTTTTTTTAGTATATATATATATATATATATATATATATATATATATATGTATATACGAACAAAGAACATAACCTATTCTCGCTCTATGAAGCCATTAAGAACATTGATGAGAGAGTTAATTACTTAGTTGATTAGATTCACCAGTCTCCAATCTCCAGGATTAGTTTCCTCTTTGAGGTGAGGTGGGACACCATACCTCACTGTATGAGGTGTGAGGGAACACTCACAATTCTCAGTGAGGTGTGAGGGAACCTCACAATTCTCAGTATGAGGTGTGAGGGAACACTCATAATTCTCAGTGAGGTGTGAGGGAACCTCATAATTCTCAGTGAGCTGTGAAGGAGCCTCACAATTCTCAGTGAGGTGTGAGGGAACCTCACAATTCTCAGTGAGGTGTGAGGGAACCTCACAATTCTCAGTGAGGTGTGAGGGAACCTCACAATTCTCAGTGAGGTGTGAGGGAACCTCATACCTCTCTGTATGAGGTGTGAGGGAACCTCACAATTCTCACTGTGAGGTGTGAGGGAACCTCACACCTCACTGTATGAGGTGTGAGGAAACACCATACCTCACAGTATGAGGTGTGAGTGAACACCATACCTCACTGTATGAGGTGTGAGGGAACACCATACCTCACTGTATGAGGTGTGAGGGAACACCATACCTCACTGTACGAGGTGTGAGGGGACACCATACCTCACTGTATGAGGTGTGAGGGGACACCATACCTCACTGTATGAGGTGTGAGGGAACACCATACCTCACTGTATGAGGTGTGAGGGAACACCATACCTCACTGTATGAGGTGTGGTAGAGAGTTAACAAGGAGCTGGTGCTCAAACGAGGGAGTCTATGCAAGGAGGGGTAACCCCCCCCCCTTAGTACAGAATACATAGATATACGTAATGTGTATAGATATACGAGTTGGAACGATTGTGCTCTCTGGAGGGCGTATGACGTAAGTGACATTTATTTGCTTGGATGTGACGTAGTCTCGGGTCTCCGGATTCCATCGGATACCTCTTATGAGAACGACGTTTTGGCGGGAAGGGAAATTTGGCGGGAAATTATGCTTTAGCGGAGATTGAATATTAGCTAGACATATTAATTACAATAATATTCAGATCACTTGTATAAAGATACTTTAAATCACGTATATTTTCGCTATCTTTCCAACCTTGCTATCTTCGGTATCCATATTCCCAGAAATGTACAGCACTTTAAATTGGTTTAAATATATACTGAGTGAAAGCCTTGAGAAGTGAGCGTTGATTTATGTGTCGAGCGGTCGTCAGACGTGTTATCAGAGAGAAGTATATATATATATATTTCAAGGTGTCGTTTTCATTAGACTTCGGATGTTATCATCAAATTAGGTGAGGCGCTTGATGGAACGTCAACGGTTGATATTAATATGTCACTAGATGTCTGTGTGACAGTGGGGCCCCTGTGTCGCAGTGGGTGTCGTAGTGGGTGACTGTGTCGCAGTCAGCTTTCAACAGACACAACGACCCAATTGATTTCTGTTTAATTAGTGGTCCCGAGGCTGTTAAAAATATAGAGAAAGACGTGACTGAGGTCCGGCTCCGGCTCCTGGTTCCCGACCTCGTGACATCTGAAGAGCTGTGACCTTTACGCCTGACCTCTGGCATAGCGGTTAAATTAAGAAGTGGACTCGAACCCCTGCAGGGTACTCTAGCTCTTATATCTGCTGGTTATAAGGCTCAGTGTGTGAGTGGTATTGTCTCAGCTGGTTATATGGTCTGGTATGTTTAATGTGTTTTAAATGTCATATTCTAGTGACACCCACGCACACACCTACACACACCTACACACACCTACACACAACCACGCACACACCTACACACACCTACACACAACCACGCACACACCTACACTACACACAACCACGCACACACCTACACACACCTACCGCCCACACACCTCACCACCCAACACAGTCTCAGGTGAGGGGCTTAAAAGCTCCAAGTTTAAGTCATAGTAATTACCTGTACAGGTGTAATGGGGAAAGAGGGGGTAGAGGGAGGGGGAGGAGGAACAGGGGTGTGGGGGGGGGGGGGAAGAGGGGGGGGGGGCAAGATTAACAAGCACCAGCACCTCTAGCAGCGGTGGCAGTAACAGTCTAACAGAACAGCACCTCCATTAAGAATCACATCAAAAGCCAGCAGGTAAGGCATCAATATATACACCTGTCATTTGAACAATTAAACGAGACAGACAAATCTGAAAATTGTAACAAAGTACAACACTTCAGGGACCCACAACAGGACAAAGTCCACTTCAGGGACCCACAACAGGACAAAGTCCACTTCAGGGACCCACAACAGGACAAAGTCCACTTCAGGGACCCACAACAGGACAAAGTCCACTTCAGGGACCCACAACAGGACAAAGTCCACTTCAGGGACCCACAACAAGACAAAGTCCACTTCAGGGACCCACAACAGGACAAAGTCCACTTCAGAGACCCACAACAGGACAAAGTCCACTTCAGGGACCCACAACAGGACAAAGTCCACTTCAGGGACCCACAACAGGACAAAGTCCACTTCAGGGACCCACAACAGGACAAAGTCCACTTCAGGGACCCACAACAGGACAAAGTCCACTTCAGGGACCCACAACAAGACAAAGTCCACTTCAGGGACCCACACAGGACAAAGTCCACTTCAGGGACCCACAACAGGACAAAGTCCACTTCAGGGACCCACAACAAGACAAAGTCCACTTCAGGGACCCACAACAAGACAAAGTCCACTTCAGGGACCCACAACAAGACAAAGTCCACTTCAGGGACCCACAACAAGACAAAGTCCACTTCAGGGACCCACAACAAGACAAAGTCCACTTCAGGGACCCACAACAAGACAAAGTCCACTTCAGGGACCCACAACAGGACAAAGTCCACTTCAGGGACCCACAACAGGACAAAGTCCACTTCAGGGACCCACAACAGGACAAAGTCCACTTCAGGGACCCACAACAGGACAAAGTCCACTTCAGGGACCCACAACAGGACAAAGTCCACTTCAGGGACCCACAACAGGACAAAGTCCACTTCAGGGACCCACAACAGGACAAGGGTGTGGGATATGAGGACAAGGAGCTGTGATATAAGGAAAAGAAACCTATAATATTTCACATATATGGCTTTACTACATTTGTTTTCAATGAAAGAGTTCTTGAAGGACCTATCAGGGATCCCCAATGCCTCTCTACTCGACCCCAGGGCTCTGTTGAGCCCTTGTCTCGAGCGCGCACTCTACGTCTCCACTGTAGATTTGCCAGGTTTCCTTTCACCTAATGCATCTATTCACCTAGCAGTAAATAGTTACACGTGAGTTAGGCAACTGTGGAAGTGTTGCATACTGGGGGAGGTCAGTAGGGGGGGGACCCTCATATAAACTTAAATTACATATATACACAGGCTTCCTGTCCCCGACAAAACGACTTATTATGTGCTTCAACTACATATCTCGCTTCACGGTCAGATCCTTGTAGCTTCTGTCAAGAACATTTACCTCAGCCCCATCCTCCTCACCCCAGACCCTCTCATGTATCCCAGTTACCACACTAAAGTAATTGTCCACCATCTTTTCCCCTTAAATGCTTCTCTAGCGACGTACTGGGACCAATTTAGAGCGGCGTTTGATGGCCCAGTGTCTCTCCTTAAGCCAGACTCCCCCATAACCATCTCTCAACCCCACACTTTCCGTCTATTGTGATCCACAGCTCTCTATCCCACTCTTGACTAAGCTGTCCTCCTCTCACACCCTCCCCCTTATAGCAGGGAGCATGTCTCAACCCCGCGACTCATAAACTCTTACTGAAATGTGGGTTGGGAAGTGCGTAGACTTAATTTAAAATCCGTTGGCATAGCTAACCATCCTGTGTGATGGGGATTTTTTGGCACCACATAGCTAGCTTTTTGACACATTGTACTTCTCTTCATATAGTCTAGGGTAGCTACACAGATGCAGGTGTACCTAAATGGGTTAATAATAATAATAAAAAATATTTGAATAATAAAAATAATAATAATAAAAAAGATGTTCCAGGAACTTTGCAATTACTTTATTCTCTCTTGTGTTCTTGAGGATATCTTCATAATACACCTAAAATTTGAGCTTTGCGAGGGTTGAGCTTTGGCTCTTTGGTCCCGTCTAGTGATGGGGACTTTTAGCATCACCTGGCTGGTTCTTGACACACTCTGTACTCCCCTTCATATAGTCTAGGACAGCTACTTCTTGACTCACTTTGTACTCCCCTTCATATAGTCTAGGACAGCTACTTCTTGACTCACTCTGTACTCCCCTTCATATAGTCTAGGACAGCTACTTCTTGACTCACTCTGTACTCCCCTTCATATAGTCTAGGACAGCTACTTCTTGACTCACTTTGTACTCCCCTTCATATAGTCTAGGACAGCTACTTCTTGACTCACTCTGTACTCCCCTTCATATAGTCTAGGACAGCTACTTCTTGACTCACTCTGTACTCCCCTTCATATAGTCTAGGACAGCTACTTCTTGACTCACTTTGTACTCCCCTTCATATAGTCTAGGACAGCTACTTCTTGACTCACTCTGTACTCCCCTTCATATAGTCTAGGACAGCTACTTCTTGACTCACTTTGTACTCCCCTTCATATAGTCTAGGACAGCTACTTCTTGACTCACTCTGTACTCCCCTTCATATAGTCTAGGACAGCTACTTCTTGACACACTCTGTACTCCCCTTCATATAGTCTAGGACAGCTACTTCTTGACTCACTCTGTACTCCCCTTCATATAGTCTAGGACAGCTACTTCTTGACTCACTCTGTACTCCCCTTCATATAGTCTAGGACAGCTACTTCTTGACTCACTTTGTACTCCCCTTCATATAGTCTAGGACAGCTGCACAAACACACATATGTACCTAAATGTGCTAATAATACAACATTATATATGCTGCTAACAATTCCAATATGTTGTCTTATTATCTCTATATATAAATCAAGAGTTCTTCATCGCCAAAAAGAGGACTAATGTCGTTCTAGCTTTCTAATGAAGCTTTCTATTAAAACCACAACCATATAGGCCTGGTGATCAATCAAGACAGTCTCTGCCTACCACAACCATATAGGCCTGGTGATCAATCAAGACAATCCTTGCCTACCACAACCATATAGGCCTGGTGATCAATCAAGACAATCCTTGCCTACCACAACCATATAGGCCTGGTGATCAATCAAGACAATCCCTGCCTACTACAACCATATAGGCCTGGTGATCAATCAAGACAATCCCTGCCTACCACAACCATATAGGCCTGGTGATCAATCAAGACAATCCCTGCCTACCACAACCATATAGGCCTGGTGATCAATCAAGACAGTCCCTGCCTACCACAACCATATAGGCCTGGTGATCAATCAAGACAGTCTCTGCCTACCACAACCATATAGGCCTGGTGATCAATCAAGACAATCCCTGCCTACCACAACCATATAGGCCTGGTGATCAATCAAGACAGTCTCTGCCTACCACAACCATATAGGCCTGGTGATCAATCAAGACAGTCTCTGCCTACCACAACCATATAGGCCTGGTGATCAATCAAGACAATCCCTGCCTACCACAACCATATAGGTCTGGTGATCAATCAAGACAGTCTCTGCCTACCACAACCATATAGGCCTGGTGATCAATCAAGACAGTCTCTGCCTACCACAACCATATAGGCCTGGTGATCAATCAAGACAGTCCCTGCCTACCACAACCATATAGGCCTGGTGATCAATCAAGACAGTCCGTGCCTACCACAACCATATAGGCCTGGTGATCAATCAAGACAGTCCGTGCCTACCACAACCATATAGGCCTGGTGATCAATCAAGACAGTCCGTGCCTACCACAACCATATAGGCCTGGTGATCAATCAAGACAGTCCGTGCCTACCACAACCATATAGGCCTGGTGATCAATCAAGACAATCCCTGCCTACCACAACCATATAGGCCTGGTGATCAATCAAGACAGTCCGTGCCTACCACAACCATATAGGCCTGGTGATCAATCAAGACAGTCCGTGCCTACCACAACCATATAGGCCTGGTGATCAATCAAGACAGTCCGTGCCTACCACAACCATATAGGCCTGGTGATCAATCAAGACAATCCCTGCCTACCACAACCATATAGGCCTGGTGATCAATCAAGACAGTCCGTGCCTACCACAACCATATAGGCCTGGTGATCAATCAAGACAATCCCTGCCTACCACAACCATATAGGCCTGGTGATCAATCAAGACAGTCCGTGCCTACCACAACCATATAGGCCTGGTGATCAATCAAGACAGAACACTGAAACCCTTCAATAAATCAGGTAGCGCTGACAACCAAAACCCACAAATGATCGTTCATTACCACAACGACCGTTCACTTTCAACAGTAAGGCTGAACATTAAAGTCATTAATGTCCAGCTGGCGACCTCATCAACACACTACAAAACGACAAAAACATTGACAACTGAAATTTTTTTACAAAAACAAGAGAATTTTGGCGTTTTTAAGAACCCGTTTGAACCAAAAAAATAAGTAAAAAATACATTTGAACAAGACAAAGAAACTCCATTTTGAACGAACTTTGAACAGAAACGCCGTTTGAATGAACAGTTATAAACGACCTACATACTATGTGAAAACTTGTTGACAGCTCCGAAGACGACACAAAACTTCGCAGCCTCTCCAAAGAACACCTTTTATCAACTCATTTACATAATATATACCAAAAATATAAATATTGTACAAGAACATTGAAACTGCTAAAAATCCCTCTAATTGTTTGTGTGTAGCTTTTCAGAAACTATGGGTCCTATATATATATATATATATATATATATATATATATATATATATATATATATATATATATATATATATATATATATATGTCGTAGCCAGAACGCACTTCTCGGCCTACTATGCAAGGCCCGATTTGCCTAATAAGCCAAGTTTTCCTGAATTATTATATTTTCTCTAATTTTTTTCTTATGAAATGATAAAGCTACCCATTTCATTATGTTTGAGTTCAATTTTTTTTTATTGGAGTTAAAATTATCGTAGATATATGACCGAACCTAACCAACCCTACCTAACCTAACCTAACCTATCTTATAGGTTAGGTTAGGTAGCCGAGAAAGTTAGGTTAGGTTAGGTTAGGTAGGTTAGGTAGTCGAAAAAAATTAATTCATGAAAACTTGGCTTATTAGGCAAATTGGGCCTTGCATAGTAGGCTGAGAAGCGCGTTCTGGCTACTAGGTACGACATATATATATATATATATATATATATATATATATATATATATATATATATATATATATATATATATATATATATATATATATATATATATATAACTACTCCCAAGGACTAACGTAATACATGTTAAGGCCAAGAATGTTTTTGTCAACAATGTGGGGAGAAACGATGGGAAGAAAGTCCAAGTTGGAGAGAAGTGAAGTGTTAGGAAGTTTGGGCAGAAACTGAGAGGGAAATGTTGTCTTGGGTGAGAGGGGCAAGAAGTGGGGCAAGAAGTGTGGGTGGTGGGGAGGAAACTGTGGGAAATAGGAAGCAACACACATGCACATAACAGGGAACAAAAAACATACATACACATACAGCAGAGAACCAGACATATACAGCAGTAGAATAACATACAGAAATAAATACACAGAAATACAGTATTCCACTACCAGGCTTTCCAATACCTTCCTCTTTGATTTCTTCCGGTCTATTCCACCCAATTTCCTGCTTGCATCCGCTCCTCTCATTTCCAATTACGCCACTGTTCCCCTCCCCCCCTTTCCCCTCCCCCAAGGGGTGGCATCCCCCCTCCCCCAAGGGGAGGCACACCCACTCCCCCTTCTTCCCCTCATCAGCGGCTGAGACAGAAGCAGGGACAGGGGTTGTGACCTATACACAATGAGGTTATTATACCCGGACATTGAGAAAATGGTCATTGTGACCATGGAGTGATGACCAGTTAATTAGGTCATCACATCATGGAGTGAAGCCATATCTTACGCAACACTTCCACTGTGTGTTGAACATTGTTCATCACTACTAAATGTGGAGTGTTGCAACGTCCGACCTGCAGAGTGTCTACGACAGTGTCTACGACAGGGTCTACGACAGTGTCTACGACAGTGTCTACGACAGGGTCTACGACAGGGTCTACGACAGTGCCTACGACAGTGTCTACGACAGTGCCTACGACAGGGTCTACGACAGTGTCTACGACAGTGTCTACGACAGGGTCTACGACAGGGTCTACGACAGTGTTTACGACAGTGTCTACGACAGGGTCTACGACAGTGTCTACGACAGGGTCTACGACAGTGTCTACGACAGTGCCTACGACAGGGTCTACGACAGTGTCTACGACAGTGTCTACGACAGGGTCTACGACAGGGTCTACGACAGTGTTTACGACAGTGTCTACGACAGGGTCTACGACAGTGTCTACGACAGTGTCTACGACAGGGTCTACGACAGGGTCTACGACAGGGTCCACGACAGTGTCTACGACAGTGTCTACGACAGGGTCTACGACAGTGTCTACGACAGTGTCTACGACAGGGTCTACGACAGTGTTTACGACAGTGTCTACGACAGGGTCTACGACAGTGTCTACGACAGTGTCTACGACAGGGTCTACGACAGTGCCTACGACAGGGTCTACGACAGGGTCTACGACAGTGTCTACGACAGGGTCTACGACAGGGTCTACGACAGTGCCTACGACAGGGTCTACGACAGTGCCTACGACAGGGTCTACGACAGTGTCTACGACAGGGGTCTACGACAGTGTCTACGACAGGGTCTACGACAGTGTCTACGACAGTGTCTACGACAGTGTCTACGACAGGGTCTACGACAGGGTCTACGACAGGGTCTACGACAGTGTCTACGACAGTGTCTACGACAGGGGTCGGCTGGGGTCGTAACGAGCCAACTACCTTCCTCAGGGGGAAATATTTAATTAAAATAAAGACCCTTGCAGGCACGGGGACCTGAAAATTGTTTTTTAATGAAACTTAAAATGTTCTGGAAAATTTGTGTCCCCCCCCCCCTTCCTCCCTCCCTCCCTCCCTCTCTCACTCTCTCTATCTCTCTCTCTCTCTCTCTCTCTCTCTCTCTCTCTCTCTCTCTCTCTCTCACACATCACACAAAAATAAAACATATTTTATCACTACCGTCTGGCCATATTAAAGAGATGGGGTTGAGAGAGAGAGAGAGAGAGAGAGAGAGAGAGAGAGAGAGAGAGAGAGAGAGAGAGAGAGAGAGAGAGAGAGAGAGAGAGAGAGAGAGAGAAGCATGGGGGGGGGGGTTCCAGCTGTAGTCTTGCAGATTCACTTACTCATATATATGCAAAACAAGACCTCACCACTCACCGCCACTGCCAGTTATTACTCCCCTATAATACTCATTACTCACACCTGACCCACCTTCAGGTATACTCATTACTCACACCTGTGAGACCTCACATCTCCTCACCTCACTCACGCTTTGAAGACCCCACACTTATGAGATTAAAGTTTCAGTCAATGATAGATAAAGCTCCATTCACTCACTGAAAAATAGAACAGGCTCTATTGACTCACTAAAAATAGAACAGGCTCTATTGACTCACTAAAAAATTGAACAGGCTCTATTGACTCACTAAAAAATAGAACAGGCTCTATTGACTCACTAAAAAATAGAACAGGCTCTATTGACTCACTAAAAAATAGAACAGGCTCTATTGACTCACTGCAAGATAGATGGAGCTCTTTTTCCATCACTCACTCTCTTACCTCAAATGGCCAGGATATCGAGGATTGAATGTTACAATATATATAGTTTTAACCATCACTAACTCACTCTGTTTGAGTGGGCAGAGTGTTCTATTCTGTGTGGAGCACCTTCAATGGATTGATTGATGAAGATTAAGCCACCCAAAAGGTGGCACGGGCATGAATAGCCCGCAAGTGGTGGCCCTTCCGAGCCATTACCAGTATCAAGAGCTGATACTGGAGATCTGTGGAGGTGCGACTGCACCCTGCGTGACGGGAGATGTCTCTCGTCGTCCGGAGCACCTTCAATAGATTGCACATTTATGTGGCTCGGTTGAGTGTGGTGAAATTGTGGAGAGTTGCAATTGTTTTTCCACCCAACTGATTATATATCTGTGCTTGTAGCTGAATATCCAATCGTGCAAAGGCATTAAATCATTCCTGTACTCAAAAGCCAATATGTAAATTCATTGATTAGATTTAATACCATCATCAGATGATGGTATTCGTGTCATGCCGCGTCTGGGTAGATCTATAAGGTGTAGAAAACCTAAACAAATTTCTCAGGAAGATATTTGTTCTATCAGTTGTACAATCTGCTTTTTTTTAGTTCATTTGATTTGTTCATTACACATGTATTAAGAAGCTCTTCTATACTCATATACATGTAATGTTTCTCGCTATGTTCGTTTCTTCTACATTATCCTAAAAAAAAATTGTATTATCATTCAATTCCTCTGGAGAATCTGGTATGTCGTTATCATGTCTCCGAATAGA